CCAGGCCCCCCGCCCGGTTTTTTTAACAAAAAAACTCCTTTTGGGGGTTTTGGGTTGGGGCCAATTTTGGCCCCTAAACCGGGTTTTGGTTTCTCCCAGCTTCCCCATTTTTTTTTCCAAAAAAGGGCCCCTTGGGGGTTTTCTTTTGGGGCGGGGGTTAAACAAAGAACCCCGGGGGGTTTCCTTTTTAAAATTTTGAAAATGGGTGGGGGGTTTTACCCCCCCCCCCCCCCCCCCCCCCCCCCCATGCCTCTAATCATTCGCTTTACCTGATAAAACTCTTACACGAGCTCCAGCTATCCTGAGGGAAACTTCGGAGGGAACCAGCTTCTAGATGGTTCGATTAGTCTTTCGCCCCTATACCCAAGTCTGACGAACGATTTGCACGTCAGTATCGATACGAGTCTCCACCAGGCATAGTTCACTATCTTTCGGGTCCCAACAGGTATACTCACACTCAAACCCACACAGAAGATCACGGTCGGTCGATGGTGCATCCTTTTGAGGAGGGTCCCACCTGCTTGACCCAGAAGGAAGACAGAGGGAAGACTAAGGAAGTCCCAGAAGGAAGACTGAGAAGGAAGACTGAGAAGGAAGACTATGGAAGACCCAGAAGGACCCAGAAGGAAGAAAAAGCTGAGATAGTGATGATCAAATCATCATCGTCGTTTGTGATTGCATTTCAAGAAATTGGGGAGGACGTGTCTACATCATCTGAAGTCTCTGGATTGCCTTGACACTGATTGTGTTAAGCGCAATAGCGGGTACCCCTTCGGTGGGATTCACTGCAGGAATAAGGCTTAGATTTAATCCTAAAATCCGAACTGGAAATTGAGAACATTTCTAGAAACCTTTCTAGAAAGCGTTTTCTGCACACTTATGGTATGAGCGCTTTGAATCTCCTCGTTATGGACCGAAAAAAGTGTTAAAAGCTCCAAACAAGTAGGACACACGCGGAAACTGTATGTTAAGCTTGAAACTCGGATGAGCAAAGTGCAACACAGACAGCCTGCTTGAACATGTATGCATGGGGCATATCCCTTCATATCCTAATTCCCCAGCCTGCTGTATCTGCTACTAGTGTATAGACAGTGAGACGAATCAGTGAGAGAGAGAGAGAACATCTTCGACACAAGACTGATATCAAGTAACTGTAGCTTTTCACTGTCTCCAGGTGAGTCGAAAGACTGGTCTGGGGACTTTGAAGTGTTTGACGCAAAAATTGAAATCTCAGAATTCCTCAATAGTCTCAAAAGAACGAACACCGTTTCTCTAAGTATTGCAGCTATGAGAGGATCACCGAAGGCAATTCCTCCGAGGTTCAAATTTGTTACCTTCTTCGTAGCGCTCAGCCTACATTTTGCAGCAGTAACGGCGAATCTCAGGGCTGACCACGAAAGCATTCAGATACAAAGCCATCGCGCTTTTGTTGGCCGAGATGGTAAGAATTTCGTGCTCGATGGCCACCCGTTATATGTCAACGGGTGGAATTCTTATTGGCTCATGTCGCAGGCAGTGGAGGAGAGCACGAGATCACGGGTGACCAACATCTTCAAGCACGGAGCTGCGTTAGGCATGACAGTATGCCGCTCGTGGGCTTTCAACGATGCTGCTTACGATGCGTTGCAGGAGACTGTCGGCGTTTACTCGGAGCAAGCATTCAAGGTGCTCAAAATGAAGTTTCATGTTTCCATCACCTATCCTCAAATTGTCGAGGAATCTTCAGCTTTCAGATTCAACTAGTAAACTAACGTTGAGGTTGGTCATTGCAGGCTCTAGACTTTGTTGTTATGGAGGCGGGCCGCTATGGAGTGCGGTTGTTACTGACCCTGGTGAATAATCTTCCAGACTATGGGGGTAAGACCTGCTACGTACAGTGGGCGAGGGACGCTGGCATAGTACTGGACGGTGATACCGATGACCACTTCTTCTCGCATCCCATCCTCCGCAACTATTATAAGGCTCATGTCAAGGTATTCTGGACAGTCTCACAAACTAATTTAACGTAATTGTGTTCGTTGTAAGTGCGCTTGGATTGCGATCGATTTTTGAAATTGTGTTTGTTGACAGACCGTTCTAACGAGGGTGAATAGCTTCACAAATGTGGAGTACCGCAACGACCCTACCATTTTCGGTTGGGAACTCATAAATGAACCTCGATGTGCACAAGAATCCTCAAGCGGTGCTTTTCAGGTATGTCAATATGTTTATGCAGATTACATGTGGATGTTTTGATAGTGGCCTCAGAATTGGGGTGTAGATCGCATTTGCGCATCCCAGTCAAACTAGTTTACGATCTGTCTAAGCTTGCTTCTGCGCAGGCATGGATTGAAGAAATGGCTGCGTATGTGAAGTCTCTGGATAGCAAGCACCTGTTAACGATAGGGCTGGAGGGCTTCTACAAGAAGAGTGGCAAAGGAACCTCTACGGTGAACCCGCATTACATGCCTGGCTCAGGGACGGACTTTATAGAAAACCATGAAGTAGATGGAATCGACTTTGCAACAGTGCACGCCTACCCCGATCTCTGGTACCACCTCCACCACAGTATTCTCAGCAAGGAGGAGCCGTTCATTTCTAGATGAGTAACTGAGTGTTCTTTCTGTGTGTTGATTTCTTTGGAATTTTGTAGGATGCCGTGGGAGGATCATTCCGAGAAACAGAAGTTTTTTGACGCGTGGGTGGACGCGCACATCAAAGACGCCGACGAAATTCTGCAAATGCCAGTTCTCTTCTCTGAGTTCGGGCTGCTCAACTCGCAGGAACGACTTGCCATGTACACATCCATGTATGACAGGATCTACGAGTCGGCGAAATACCGTGGGGCTGGCGGTGGCGCTCTCGCGTGGCAGCTTCTCGACGAGGAAATGGCGAACGTCTGGGACGACGGATTCGCGATCTTCCCAGGCCAAGACCTCCCTATGATTCATCTCATCAAACTGCAATCGTGCCGCTCGAAGTTGCTACCCTCGTCGTCCGACGAATGCCTCGACGGCGATCAGTCCTCGTCCCTCTGACGCGCCATGTTGATGCTCTTGACGCCGACTCCCAACTTCTAGGGGATGCCAAAGAATTAATAGAATAAGCCCACGTGTATAGATTCGATACATTAAGAATAAATGTATATATGTATATCTTTAAGAAAATCCTTATTGCACTAAAGAAAAAAAAGTTTTATTTTTTACTAAATTAGATAATGAGTTCCAACTTGTTTATAAAGAATAATCAAATAAAATAAATAAAGCATACTACAATTGTTTCAACACATTTCTCACAACATACCTTAATGTGTAGTATTTCATATATAAAACACATTAGAGGGGATAATCCAATGGCATGAACTGAAGGAGACAAATTTGATCTTTGATTGGTTGCATCCTTTAATATTTTCATCAAAAGTGAAGTAAAAGTTGAGTTATGCAATGATCTAAAGGGCCTTAATAGAATCAAGTTTACAGATTTATAGGGCCTTAACAAAATCAGGTTTATAGATTCACAGGGCCTCAACAACACATATGATTCACTACTACCTCAAAAAAAGATATCACATTGGTTTTCAACTTAATTATCATTGATTTCACCAAAAGCTTTGATGAAAACAACAAAGCAAAAGTTTTCTTTGAAAATATGATTGAATGATGTATTATCTATAAATATTATTATTGGATCTATTGATATTTTTTTGCATATAGAGGTCTTCCTTTAATAGGTAAATCATAGAAATCCTTAAAATTTTTAATACTCTGGATTCCATGTTTGGTCATTAATTGAAATAGTCTTGTTTGGAGACAAATGAAAGATGTCTAAAGCGAGCATGCTAGAATGAGTGGTAAGGTTCTTTCATGCACTTTGAGAAAAAACTACAGATGAATATGGGGCTTTGTCAAAATATTTTGTATCTATGTCACAGGTCAAAATCTTGGAAAAAGAGGCTGATGCTATTGCTAGAAATGATAACACTCTCCATCTTTGTTTTCAACCAAATTCAAAGACCTATTGTTATATTTTTTATTATTGATTCAAAACCATTCTTGAATGATCCTTTGCAAAATTGTTTGGAATCAATTCTAGAACCAATTCCAAAGTTGCATCTTCAAATTAGTTTCTTTGGCCAAAAATTATATAGTATCTTAAGTTGATTTTGTTTTATTTCATTTATTTCAATTATTGTGTGTACTTGCATTGAACTTTATGGAACCATAGTGTTATACTCAAATAACTTTCTTCTATGTCACAATTATTAAGAAGCTCAAGTATACAAATGTCAATAGCCAATGAGCTATTGGAGCAACAAGCTGTCATCAAGGAGTGAGTAGAACAACTTGAGCTATGTGAAATGAGTCATATCTTGCTCTCCTCTCACTTGAAAGATGCTTTGTTTGAACATGTAGTCTCAATTCTAAACAACATATTTAAAGTAACAGCTACACAAGTTCAACTAGTTTATTATTTAAGCTTTTACCACATCTAATTGTTTTATGTCCAAACCCTTGAGGGCCACTTCAATTACTGGCGCAACAAATATTTTGTAATAAAAAAAGAATTAATAGATACAAACTGTTTCAAAATAATATATTTCCACTTTCAATTGGATTTTTAAAAGAAAAAATATCATACAGCTCAATGATTGATTTACACTACTTTGTCTTCATTCTTTATGTATTTATTTTATTCAATTAATCAGTAAGAGGACAATACTTTCTGTAAAAGGTGCAAAGAGTGTTTTTATCGTCTAAGTTCCTTTAAGTACAACATCACTTTAAAACATTAAAAAATTATACATTATTGCCGCACTAATTACCATTTTTTGGAAAATTAACTTATTTCCAAAAAGAAAACAACTAACAAATTAAGACTGTATATATCACTTTAGCAAAGTGAAAAACTAGAAAACTAGTTCCTGATTAAAGTGATCCTGTACTTACATTAAGGGCGGCCACACCTCAGCGACCGAAGGAATAAAAGCGTTCCGACGCATTCGCTTGGACGCTGAGAGAGAGGAGCTACGACACAGCCACATTGGAAACATGCACTGGTCTTATGTTCGACTTTGAATGAAACCGTTATGGCTGAGAGCATTAGATCTTGAGTGTACCCTCTCGTTTTCCAAGTTTCAACCAACTGACACGCGTCTGCGTGCTAAATCACCAAACCTCAAAATCCTGCTGCAAGTACGCTGAACTAGGTTTCCAATAAGATCATGTTCGAAACACGCACGCATGCACTCATACTCTGGTCGCATTTTGTTCTCAGAAGATTCTCCTTGTCATATTCTCCGACAGAAGAGAATCACGGAGAACTTCTTCATTTTCTTTTCATTTTGCAACGCTGCCTTCTTCATATAGTCCGAAAACGCCGGACATTGAGTACATTGAACTGCCGTTAGTATACTGAATCAATCACAAGCACTAAGAAACGCAGTTGCGTCATCTCCGTCAGAGCTTCGGAGCATGAATCGAGTGCACACCTTTGCGTTACATTTTCATACACCCGATCCATGATCAATTAGCGCAGATCGGGAACCAGCATCGCGACAATGTCATGTGGTATAGCCTGAACGACAATACAGAAACAAGAATCCACACTCTTAACACTTTTTTCCATTACCTGGATAACGCTCTCGCGGCAGTGACACAGTGAGAAGGATAAGGATCGTCGTCATGCAAACATTTCCTGAAATGAAATAAAGAAGAGGCGTTGAAAAGCAGAGATTCCGAAGCGCAGTGATGGAAGAGTGACAGCCACCATGTTGCTGCTTTGCGCCATCGGAAAGAGCTTTGGCAGTAAGCAAGGAGGATGGATGGATGATATTCTCACTTCTCACACGCGGCGTTCCCTTCGATTCCCTGGGTTTGGCCACTGAACAGGGGCCAGCTAGGGGTTGAGGTGATGAGTGTGACATGGAATCTTAGCTGGACTGCCAGCAAGGCATTGATCGTGATGGATGTTGGAAAAGAATCCATGTGCTGGAAGCAGGATGAATTCATCTGCACCATTTTGGTTGCTGTATTTTTTTTTTTTTTTTTTTTTTTTAAATATTTCATTCTACCAATTAAAAATCATTATTTTGATTTTTTTATTTAATTAATAAATAATAAGTTTATTACCTAGTTTTAGTCATAAAATAAAATATTAAACTATATATAATAAAAATATTTATTTTTAAAATTAATAAAAAATAAATTTAAATATAAAATATTATGATTTAATTATATAAAATTATTTTTTTGAAAATATATAAAAAAGAATATGATATTTTAGTTTAATTTTATACTTAATTTTTAGTTGAATCATTGTAAATAATAGAACATAAACATGAGTCTAAATTGTTAATAATGAATAATAAATATTGTGACAATATTGAAATTTTTCCAAACATCCAAATTTTTTTATTTTCTTTTATCTAATAAAATATTCATTATTTATTATTAAAAATTTAGAAATGAGAGTAGATTTGGAACTATTGTAGATCTTTGTCAGCTTGTTGATATTCTTAGAGATTCTTTTTGTGTATTACCAATGTCAACTATAGAAATACTATTAATATGACTATGAAAGAAGTCAATAATGAGGTCAAATGTCTATGCTATAAAATTATATAATTAAAAAAAATAGGCAAATTAATCTTAAAAATGAATTCAAAAAGCTTTACTACTACAATAATGAAGGAGGCAAAGATTAATGTGTTAAAGGAGTTTAATAGAACTAAATCAAAATCTCAAGGATTTCTACAATAAGTCAAGCTTTATATAATATTATATTATTTTTAATATTAAAACTGATATAATTAATTAATATTATATAATATTTATTTTAAAAAAAGTAACATCATCAATTTTTTTTAAAATATCTATAATATCAAAGATAATTAGTATTTTAAAAAAATTATATCAAAAAAATATATTAAATTGATTAAAAAATCACATAATATTAGTTATATAATATCAAAATAAATTTAAAAGTCTAAAAAAATAATTTGATTTTATAAAACCTATTTATAAAAATATTTAGAAGTATAAAAAAATGATGAGTTGTAGAATAGATATTAATTCGTTTTTGAAAGATATTGGTAAAATATATTGATAGTCCATATAATAGGAAATTCAGGAAGACGGATGAGTGATTTAGTTCTTAAAAGTGATTAATTATAGAATTACGGTTGGAATCTGGAGAATCAGGAGAAAGTATATAGGAGTTGTAGAAGTTAATTAGGGTGCAATTGCTGTGATAGTTGTGAGCCGGGGTAAGCTTGGTGCTACCTCTTTTCTTTTATTTGTTATTTTTTTTGAATAAGAGGATTGAGAGTTTTTGAATATTGTAAAGTGAATTATGGAATGGAAATGTGATTGGTATTATTTGAAAAGAAGAAAGATTGAATGCTAAAATCTGATTGTAGTTCAGTAGAGAAAATGAGTATGTGTTTGTGAGAAACATCGTAATGTGAATGGCAGTTTTGTATGAAGAATTCCAGTGATTGGAATGAGGGTAATTGTGTGCTGAAAGCTGTGAGAGCGCAGTATTACAATTGGAGATTATGAGGGTGAATATATTGGTGGAAATAGCAGTTATTGGTATGACTGAATTATTGTAAGGAAGAGACCGATAAGGTGAAGGAGGAGATTATAGTTTCTTTGTGTATTCAGATATTGGAAATAGGGACGATACATTCAGGAGGTAATTGATTGTGTGACCCTAACGTGAATGCGTAAGCAACTAGTCATTCCCCGTGTTCGAATCCCCTTATACGGGTTTATTTCCATTAGATTAATTTGGAATAAGTAAAATGAGCAATCACATGAGTTTAATCAAGAAAATATAAATAATTCTTTAAAAATTATTAATTCAAATAAATACATATATATTTGAATAAATATATAAAAATTGAAAAAAATTTATAGTAATTTTTGATCTTTAATCAATCATTTACATTATATAGACTTTTAAGAAGATAAAATATAACTTTTAAAAATTATAAAAAATAAAATATACTAATAAATATTTTTAAACAAGATATTATGAATATACATATTTATATTAATAATTATTTAGATAATATGAATAGATAGAAGTAGGTAAAATTAAATATCTTAGATGATATTTTGTATAGAAGCTTCTTAAAAGCTTCATAGATGCGGTTTCATCTTTACACGTGCTTATAGGTGATTTATATATGGAACACTCGGTCAAAAAATAAGCCATGTATCATACATGTTGATAGCTTGAAATACAAGCTAATTGTGTGGCATACATATAGAAAACTTGCCTTGCA